AATTATTTCTCGAAGTCAATGAAAAATTAGTATCTTTCGAAGAAAGCGAATAAACGCTGTTTTGATAAACAAATTAATAGAAGCATAATCTGCACCGTTCACGTTTTCTATTTGCTTTCCATTCTTTCAAAGAATTCTTTCGAAGAATAGTAATCTCTGATAAAAAAACTTTGTACGCAAAAATTTGCAAATAGATTGCAACTACATATTCTTTTTCATTTAAATAACTTGTGGACGTATTACGGAATTATTTGGAATGGATTCAAATTAATCGAAGTTATTGTCTATATTTCTGATATATTTTCTATGGAAAATTAAATAATTCTGATCGAATCCGTTTTAAACAATTTCATAAATCATGCTCTCGTCAAATCACTTACAGTTCTTGTGCTAGTTACAATTTTTTGATAACGATTTTTTGATTAAATGAATAAATCATTTCATAATGGGAGAGTCAATAACGGTGACAGGTAACATTCAGCTGTTCTGAAGAGAAACTTGTATGTATTTTAGACTGATATTCACGTCGTTGTGCGATAACGCGTAGTGAATGAGGCGAATGACTAATGTATGGGTCATTGAGTCAAAGACACCATAAGTATTCAACACGCAAATGGGAAAGAAAACGATGCGGCGGTATGTATCTATGATTATGGAAAAAGGGAATAATCAAATAGATTTATTTCTTTCCTTCTTTTTAAATCTCCATTATTCATATGACTTGTTTAAGTCCTCGCGTAGGATTTGTTTTAAATATATACAAACAATATATTTAAAATTTCAAAGCTCTTTGATTTTCAATTAAATAAAGATTAACAATATTCTACACATATGTACAAAAAAAATGTTTTTAATTGTTAAACAATTTATGCAAAATATAATAATATGTATAAATAGCATTCAACAAATAGGTATGTATATTGTAATGTACATACAAGCAACTGTCCTCGACAAGTGTGAGGAATGAAAGAGTTAATGTGCAAAGTTCTTTTACCAAGTAGAGTATACGTGAAAAATACAGAGCACTAGCTACCAAATTTAGCAACAAAATCTCAAAAGTCGCAAATATATATTTAAAAATTAATACAGAAGTAATATAGGATAGTGCATTATGTTCAATGATGCTGAAGGTGACATCGTATTAAAAATGATACGATCGAATAAGCTTATTTGATCATCTTTGCTCCTTTAATTCACTTTTCGCTATCGCTGATAATGCACGTTTTGTTTTATGTTTGTTCATATAGAACAAATATTCTCTTAATCCTCAAGAAATCATGGAGGAGGAAAAAGCGATATATGTGTATATATGTCAGGTTTTTTATTTATTATCATCTTTTGTCCCTGGTGACTTCCTAAGCAAGAAAGTAAAATGAAGAGTTACTTTTGTGGGATCTTGTTACTAATGTACTGGCTGAATATTGTTACTACAAGAGAATATGAAATTGTATATGGTACGTTGCATAACACCGGCTAGAGAGTAAAATTTCACTCTTCAGAGAAACAAATTATTCTAAAAATTTTACAGAGTAAACAATCTCGATGTTTCAATAACAGATTCTTTGATAAGTTTTTAGATTACATTATACATGTATATGATTACATTAATACCAATGTTGCCGCTTATAGTTAATATCTGATAAATATTTTGAAAATAAGTGAAATTTTTCGGATTATACTCTTCGAATTTTTTCGGATTTTACTCACATAGACATGTATTTAGAATATTGCAAATGGAACAATCAATTTGTGCCAGTGGGTTTTCACAATGATTCTTCGTGCAGACAGGTGTATTGTAGTACAGGGAACGGTCTAATTTATTTGGTTACGTAAGTCTTAAAACGTTATAATATCATATATTTCATATATAAAATAATTTACAAAATACATATATTCTTATTCATAAAATATCTTCGTTATCCGTGCAGCTATATTCAGTTGGATATAAGATCTCAGAAAAATTCAAAGAAAAAATATTTCATCTTTCAGATACATAGTTGTATTTAAATAATATTTTTCATACCTAATTTTGTAAATCTCGAAAAAAATTATTACACAATGATCCTGTATCGATTATTTCGGTATTCGGTATTATATTATTTTTTTAATGCAAATGCGATAGCAATATGTGATTACAGTCATTTAAATTATATATATTAATAAATGAAAAATATATATATTTAAAAAGTATGAAATAATAGATCTTTACATTTGATACTCAAATTTAATTTGTCAAACTTTCAAATTTGTAAACAATTATAAGAGGAGAACTATTTATAAGATATTAAGTAAAAAAAAATTCGTTTCATATCATTTTTACTTTATATCTCACAAAAAATATATGGAGAATAACAAATTGTAATAGAAAATATTATCGTATTATTTCACATTTTCATATTATTTCAAATTTTTCTTTTTTTTTCTTCTGACTGATCTTCTTGATCTGACTCTAAATAATCAACTATTACCTACTTCACAATGAGACCCACACAATATTCTGGCATGATTTCAATGCTAAGATAAAAAGATTTTCTGTAAAACTCTTGTTCATCTATTTTTATTCCATTTTTATTTTTTTCCAGATGTCCTAAATTAACTTGTGATGCAGGTTTTATGATTAGAGAAATAACAAGAATAGATGAAACCAAAAATTTTCCTGAATGCTGTCCACGAGCGGCTTGTATGAGTATGAATCCGATTAGACCAAGTTAGAAAATTCTCTTAGATCTAAAGGAATAATCCTTTCTTAACGCGAAAACAGCTTCCATACAATAGTTAATGTCAAATAAACATTCCACTAGTAATGAAAAATTTGATAGAATTAGCGGAATGGAACATGTTTTATTCTAAAATATTGTTATAAATAAATATCGTTTCTTCATCGAAAGATTCTACTTATTATTCACCTACTCACTTGTTGTCACCTTACTTTTTAAATTTTTTGGAGTGAAATCTCACTCCAAAGAGTGAAAATACTGTTACTGTTGAAAACGAGTGAAAATATTTGCACTCTAAATAAGAGAGACAGATTTTCACTTTTTTGGACTAGATTTTACTCCAAAAAATTTAGAGAGTAAGACTAGATAAAGAATGATATTTTTCATACAATAACGCGCAATCGAATTTATCAGATTCTCCGTTCTTCACTGTATCTGCTTTATACTTTCGTCGCACGAAAGCACAAAAACCATATCCGTCACAAAAATCATATCTTGAACAGAAATTTCCGTATGGATTTTAAATTTGAAGAAATAATCCTTTTTCAGCGAAGAAAACTTCTAACAGTTGTAAGATATACATTTTATTACTAATAAAAAATTTGGTTTTATTACTAATTTTTATTACTAATAAAGAATTCGTATAACGAGACATGTTTTATCTTCACTATTGTTGTAAATAAATATTATTTTCTTTAATTCATAAAAATGCTGTACTTATTTACTTGCCTACTGTTGCCTTAGAACCGGATAAAAAAATGACACTATTTCATAACTTGCAACCGAGTTTATCGGATTCCTCCTCACTATTCCTGGTTCATACTTCCGTCGTACAAAAGTACTAAAACCATTTCCATCTTGAATGGTCTTCACTTGCTTATATAAATATAGTATCTCCAATCCTGCGCAATATTAAATGATTAAATGCCACTTTCACTTGAATTTGTTCACTTGATTTTCACTGTTTTACGATCCTTCTTTGCTCATTATTCATTTCTTGGAGTCAGCGAAAAACTGCTGTTTCTTCGAAAAAAGCGAATAAACGTCACTTTAGTATGAATTAATCGGAGCATAACTGTGCCGCTCGCATTTTTTACTTGCCCTCTATTCATTGAAGTTTGAAGTATAGTCGAAATCAAATAGAAATATTCAACATGAATATATTTAAACTCAATTAAAAAATTCATCCTGAATAGACATCATATCGAATATATCGAATAATGATTGTATTATATATTCAATATGCCTATTCATTCAGGATAAATATAAATAATTTTTGCACTGATAAATATATTCATAATAAATTTTTCTGTTTAATATCGACAACTCTAGTTTGGAAAACAATCTGCAATCCCAATAAAATTCTGATGCACAATAGTTTGTAAGCAACTGAATATTCTTCTTTTTTTTCTTTTTAATCTTCAGATCGAATCACTTACAGAGTTCTCGTGTGTTGGTCGTTATTTCTTTATGACGGCAATCAAACGACTAAAGAGTGATGAGAGAATCAACAATTATAGGCGATAGGCAACACATTCGACTGTACTGAAGAGAAGCTCGCCTTGGACTAGCTATGATATTTACGTCGTTGTGCAGTAAGGCGTGTATTGCGGCAAGGCGAATGATTAATGTTTGAGTTCAATGGCATCAAAAGTATGGCACGCGTGTATTAAAACAGAGCGATGCGCCAATACGTATTCGCATTTAAAATAAGGACTGATAGTTCCCCTTTTTCTTTTCAACGTGCGTCTATCTCTCTCAATAATTTCGTGACGCAATTAGCTCTAGCGCAAAGAAACAACGCAGCGACTCTTATTTGCATTCTGAATGCAATATTAGCTCATCCAATGAGCGAGTACACTACGCTGCTTCTCTTTGTTTATATGCTGACCTCGAGAAATGTTGATATTGTGTCATCGGATACATTTTCACTCACAGAGTGTAACTTAAAACCTGAGGGTCATTTAATTTAAGCAGTTAACGTCTTCTTTAATGCTCGCGATTGATATTATCTTATACATTCAGTATTCAAGTAAATTAAATATTTTTATAAAAAATCGAAAAGATTGCAAATATCATATTGTTTTAAAATACATGATGCACGCTATTGAAGAAATATTATGAAAATTAAATTCGAAATTAAAAAAACAGCATATTTGTTCAGTATAATCGTAACAACTGGGATATGTATCTATTCTATTATAAAAACGCTCTAGAGAAGGGAGAGAGAGAAAAAATTTTAAAAATTTAAATTAACAAAAGAGAATTATTAATACGACTTACGATAAACCGGATCCGGTTGTGATGTCGATACTGGGCGGTTGCATCGATACTCCGCTGCTGGTGTTGCTCCCAATTGCGGATAAATTCTCCGCGGGATTTTGCGAACTGTGATTCGTGGTCGTGGATGCTGACTCAACGTTGCTTCTCGTCGCGCTATCAAAGTTTCCTGGCGCGTCGCTATCGGATGATTCGGACGACTCTTGTCGTCGCTGCATTATCCGACTCGATAGTTTGCTCTCAATGTCTGATGCCAAAACATTGCCGAGTATCCACTCGCCTCCAATAGGTTTCTGCAATTTTTATTTTAATATTACTCTTCGTTCGCTATGAAGCATATTTTCAGAAAAACAGATTTTATTCTTAATATTAACAGAATGCCATAATTATAATTATAATAAATCATAGGAATTAAATATTATTTTTTTTCTTCATATAATTTAAACTTTTCTTCTCATAAAAAAAATCAGTGTAATAATTAAAAATATTTATATTATTAAATTGAAATATTCACGCAAAAAAGTAATACTAAGAATCATATACTTAAGTAAAATTAAATTAACAGTAATATACATTCACAAGAACAGACATTCTGATTGAACATTCGTCAAATATAAAAAATAAAGTATAAAAAATTATCCCGTCTTACCTTTTTACTTGATTCTTGAGTCGTATTCGATGGCGCATTCGCAGGTTGGTGAGATTGCTTTTTGGAGTTACCAAACAGATCTGCGTCATCGTTCTCATCGTCACTAAATAAGCTCGTGGTGTTAACGATATTAGATTCCGGTGTGCTTGTGGCGATTTTACCGGGAGCAATAACGTCTAAAAATTTCTTCGGCAGATCCTCCATGTTCGCGGGATAAGCGTTATCGCTCGCGACAGGTTCCTTCGGGCGTTTTTTGACGTTTTTCGACGAGAAAATGTCATCTGAGTCTTCTTCCGAATCAGCATCGGCAAATAGATCGTCTATTGCTGACTTTGGCTTTGTTGCTAAAAAAATGTGGTTGAATTAAAGAAGATAAATGTATCTATTGTAAAACGACAATGATGTAAGAATACTTACAAATTATACTAATCGGCGGCGGCACGTCGATACTGGCTGGTATAATATTATTATTTTTGTAAGATTTGATTGGCTTTTCCTTCCACAGATTGGCAGATACTTGATCGTCAAAGAGATCTTTTTTACTGCTAAATAGATTGTCAGAACCGTTGAACACACCTTCATCCTTCTCGGACGCAAACAGATCATCTGAAAGTTAACAATCAATTAACTTCGAGAATATTTTGTTTACAATTTTATTGTTTATATTTTTGCAACAAAGGTATTAACTGTATACCTTTAAATCGATTAATCGATGATTCACTGATTTCATCTACTGCGACAGGTTTTTGTACTTGGCGAACGGTGCCTAATCGTTTGGCTAATTCCTCTGCAAAATTCGGTGTCGTTTCATTTGACTGCAAACAAAAAAAAAAGAGAAAATTGTTTCATCTTTAAAATATAAAAATCATCAAATCTCGATATCAAAATCTCTATTCTGTATTCTTAACTCCTTCAGACCAGCATACATTGTAATGTACAAATTTGAAAACATTATCTGTTGAAATTCTGTTGACATCATCTAAGATCTGATGTACATAATAATGTATATGTTGGAAAAATACTTAAAATTTTGAAAAAATTAATTGTTTAGTATAAATTATTTATTTAAATATGCATGAACTGAATTTTAAAAAATTGTTTTAATATAATTCTATCTCTCTAATCAGATCTGAAAGGGTATCAGTGTCGTATTGGCATATACAATTGACTATCGTTAAAAATTACACAACAGGAACTCGACTATCAAATAATAAAAGAGATTTATACCTTCGATACATTATTAGGTGTGGCAGACTCTGAAGCGGAATTTATATTATTCTGAGATGTAATATCCGTTTTATTATTCTCGTACGATATGTTATTGCTGTGATCATTATAATTATCTGAATCGCTAGAGGACGACGACAATCTCGCTATATTTATCTCCGGATTGTGTCGACTGTTAAACACTTTCCGCACATCGGTATCCTCCTTTTCACTTTCCGATTCATCTCTCTCTTCGTCGGCTTGTTCAGATTCGCTACTGCTACTCTCCAAACCTATCTTATTCGATGCTATCCATTTATCGGAACCGATAACATATGGTAAGGGCCGATCTTGATATGGATCATTAGGTCCCACAATAACACTGTAAATCAACTGAATTTTAGCACAAAGCAAATATTATGAATAAGAATAAAGACACTAACCTGAATACTACCGCACCTCCTTCATCTTCTTCTTCGCTATCGCTGCAAGCTACATCCATTACTTTGTACTTTTCATCCATTATACTTAAACCTTGCTTAACACTCTCGCTTATGCTGGCCAAGAGATTCTCTGGCGTGGACTCTTGAATTTTCGCATTCTGAAAAAAGAATACAAAAATTCATTTCACCCAAATATGAAAAGACATAGATTTCCCAAAAATATTTATTCAAAATATTGTATATTGAAATATAAATATGAATTCTTACTTACTTCTTGCTTCTCATCCAAATTCTCCTTAATCTCTATGTCATCCTCCTGCACTCGGCTCTCGATGAACTGAGTATTGGCCAAAGCCAGAGACGTATTAGTAACATTATCCACTAGTATCCCTGTTTCTTTTAATTGTGTCGTCAACGTGTCCAGAGCAGCTTGAGTCTTGTTAGCTTTAGACACTAGATTCTAAAATTTTACACAAAATCAATGCAAGGCACCGTTGAATATAAACGTCAGCAAGGCAAAGTAATAAATTATACTTCAGAAAATTGCTGAAGATGTTTAAGAAGTCCAACATCACCCGCCAAACTCCACTCCCTTCTCTTCTTTCTCATCTCTTCAGTAGTCCATGGATGATCCCATGATTTATCTATACCATCTGACACATCCTTCCATATAAAATAAAATAATTGATTTAAAAATAATATTGCTTACTGTTGCA